CCCGCCCCGCAGCGGCCACCCCGCTGAGGACAGCCGGCCTCCTCCACCGGTGAGCTCCTGGCCTCCGTCCGCCCGTCGGCCTCCGCTCTGCCCAGTGAGTCAGGCCCCGGCCGCAGGCCGAGCGGGAACCTGCCCCACCTGAGGGGGTGCCGCGTTCAGAGCTGCAGGGACAGCCAGGTTCTGGGGCGGGGCAGACGGCAGGTTGGGGGGCGACCCCCCGTCTGTTCACCAGTACCAGTAGCGCCTGGGGGCTCCGGGCAGGGACACACGGGACCCCAAGAGTTGCCTCAGAACTCCCGTCTCAGCCACCAGGGGAGAGGCAGGCCGGCTGCGGGAGGCCCCGGGGATGGGGCCCATCAGCAGGCTGGGGGGCACGGAGGGCGGGCAGGGGCCCAGGGCCCGGGCCGGGTCCGCTCAGGAGGACTGGGGGGGGGGCTGGCGGTGGGGGGACTTGTTGTTCTTCGAGAAGTCGGAGTCGGAGCGCGCGGCGGCTGCTGCGGCGGCGGCGGCCGGGCTGACGGCAGGGTGGTGGTGGTGCGGGTGCGGATGCGCGTGCGGGTGGTAGCCGTGGCCACGTAGGCCGGGCAGCGGGTAGGGCGCCGGCCGGCTCTTGGCCCCGAGGTAATGGTCGTAGGCGGCGGCCGGGTACTTGTAGGGGTGGTGATGCAGCGGCTCGGACGCGCTGGACGCCTCCAGGCGCAGCTCAGGGTGCGGGGGACTGGGCCGGCTTCCCGGGGCACCCGGCAGCGGGACTAGGCCGCCGGCACTGCCGGCCCCAGGTAGTGCGGGGCTCAGCACTCGCGCCAGAAGCTGAGGCGGATGCGGCGGGTCCCCGAGCACAGCCGGCCCTCCCGCGTCTCGCTCGAATTCTCTCCGGGCCTCGGCCGCGTCTGTGGGGAGGGCCGAGGAATGCGTGCTGCTGGTCGGGACCGCAGAGAGGACGCACGGAGGACGCCAACCACCAGCATAAGGCCCGGAGGTTGGGGCGGGCGGGGGGTTTATGCACGAGGCCGCACTCTCCCCGCCCCTTCTCTCCGAACCAGTCGGAGACCCGGGCACTTCCCGGGGGCCCGCGCCCCTCTGCGGGCAGCAGCCGGGGTGGGCGGAGCGGGCGGGGCGCAGCCGTCGGGCCGGGCGGGCGAGTGCTCGCTTGCCCGCCGCCACCGCCGTTGTGCAACCGGCGCGAAGGCCGCGAGCGCCACAGGGGCGCAGGCAAGGCGGGGCTCGGCTGCCCGCCCGGGGCCCCACGACCCGGGTCCTACCTTTCTCCACGCCGTTGGGCTGCGTGGGGGTGGCCACAGGGTTCCGCGAGCGCGCAAAGGCGCTCATGAGCGGCAGCGCACCGGGCCGGTGGTTCCGGGGCCTGTGAGAGGAGGCAAACAGTTTGTCAGGACAGCGCGGGGCCACCAGCCGAGCCTCCACAAGCTGGGCTGCTCCGTCTCCGCTGAGAGCACTCACCAGTCCTCAGGATCGCAATCTCGAAACCCTTTGGCAAAAGGGTTACTGGCAATCTTGAGCTGTGTAATCTGCAGAGAGAGTGGGAGTGCTAACAAAATGATCCAGGCACTGGGGGCCACCCCACCCTCAGGGTGTAAAGTGCTAGTGGGAAGGGAGACTCTTCACTCCTGACACCCGTGGCACACGGCTGTCCTCTTCCCCAGGATTGTGCCTCACCAACGGGGTGGCTTTTTTCCACCCCAAGCGATCACCTCCACTCCCCCAAACCCTACAGTAGTAGAGAGCTGAGAGACACCCTAGGAATCTGGGTAAACTGTGGACAGGCCCCTGATGGGGTGTTTCCGGAATAGTTTAGAAAACAAACTTTAAGGCCACAGTGACAGTTGCCCCGTAAGAGGTCAAACTGATAGGAGGCTACACCCACAGGCAGCAGAGGGGAGGGGGCTGTTGAGACTGGGGGTGAGGCACCGGCAGCACTGTGTTCCACAAGGACTTGCAGTTCCCTCGTCCAAATCTGTCCCTCAGGCAGCAAGTGAAAATTGTACCCCCTTCTCAGAGTGCTGAATTCCCAGTCCCCAGATCTCACCCGGTGGTTCTGGTAGGCAGTGACTGCCGTGAACCGTGTCTCCTCAAACACAAAGGTTTTGAAGTTCTCCTCTGCGTATTTCTCACTATCTTTGCGTGGGTCCACATAGACAACGTGGAAGCGAGGCTGGTATCTGTGCATGGAGTTGAGAATAATCTGGAAAACAAGGCAGCAAAATCAGCGCTTACGAAATGGGCAGAAGTCCAGATAACAAGTGAAGTTCCCAAAGAACTTGGGCAAAATCCTTAATCCCCAAATGAAGCTGGGTTACCAGGAACAAGAGGCACCAACTGGGGGCCACCAAAAAAGATGCTCTGAATGGCAAAAGAGCAGGTCTTCGATTCTTTTTCTTAGGTCCCTGAGAATTGAGGTGGGTGGTTGCAGGGTTGAGGCAAAAAGATGCATCACTGGCTTGGATTCTGCAGTCTCTAGCCCCTACCCCTTTCCCACTTAAAAAATTGCCGGCAAGGGATCAGGAGGGAGTGAGGGAGGAGGGGAGCACTCTTGAGAGCTGGAGGCCTACCAGGTTCTGGGAGCCCATGCCTCACCGCACCCTCATCCACACCCAAGCTGCCCAAGCTCTGCCTTTGACTCTGGTCTGGCAGAGTCTCCAGAGGGGCTGCATGCCACTGCAACGGACAGTGAGGAGTCTGAGGAGGGGAGTGCTCACGTGGCCGTTGTCGTCCAGCAGGTTGTTAGTCAGCTTGAGCTTGTCAAAGGATACAATTTGCTTCATCCACTGTGCGCCCTTAGCGGGGGAGTCCGGATGGTAGTGGACTCGGCCCGGCGTGGCAGGATCAGCCTTCCCAGCCACCAGCCAGGAGGAGCTGTGGAAAGCGTACCTGGGGCAGCACCAGAGCAAGGGTCGTGTCACACTGGGGTGAATGGGAAGGGCCTTGCGAATGAACCGAATGAACCGTGAAAGTACTTCTGAAGTCTCCCCATCCATGAAATCAAGCTGCCACCGGGGCTGGAAGTTTTTCTGAGAGGGATTGTGTAAAAAACAGAAACCTCTCCATCCCAATACACAAGCCATCCTGCTGTAGCTAGAAGCCAGGGAAAAGGAGGAGGCCGTGTGTTTGCTGCTGCCGCCACTGCCGCATTTCGATGCACCGGGGTTCACCCACCATGGGCCTCCCGGCTGGTCTCCAGTGTCTCAGGATTTGGCCCAGGCAGCCTCCGGCACAGGGCGGTTCAAGTTCTCTTTATTAATTGCTGTTAATTGTCCAGGCGGCTGAGGCCCGCCCTGCATAATCTCTCTCTCGGGCACCCCACCTTTCCTGCCCGGCTCCTGGGGCCCAGCATCTCCCGGAATGGGGGAAGGGGATGAGGTGCTCATACTCTTTTCATGGGAGAGGGAGACATGAAGAGGGAGACATGAAGAAAGGCTGCTGGGTATATCGGCCTGCTTGCCTAGAGCCAAGCTGGCGGGGATGCGAAGCTCTCTGGGACCTACAGCTGGGCGGTGTGCAACCAGCCTGTGAGTCCTGCCAGGAATTCCTGAGAACCCATGGGAATTGGGTTCTTGCATCTGGGATTTGACCAGGGCTCAGGGGGGCAGGTCGGTGGAGCAGCCAGGGCAGGTGCCTGGAACCACCTAGTCACTAATGGCATTATTGAAGTCATTATCAGTCAGGGACCAGCCGCTTCCCAGGACGGGACGCCCTCCCAGGCCTGGCACGCACACACTGGTTGCTCACCGGTAGCGCTTGTCATCCACAGGTACGAAGTCCATGAGGAGCATGTAGTCGGCCATTGGGTCCATGCCAAAGAGCTTCACTTGGAACGTGGGGAACATACGCCTGGGGGTGTCAGGGTCTTGGGTCACTTCAGATGGGGGAGGACAGGGCCACCCCCACTTTGACCAGTCCAAGACTACAACAACACCTCTGCTTAGTCCTTCCCTCTGGCCTCCCTTGTGGTTGCTGCATTCAGCATAGTCCCTGCATCTCATCCCCCTCACACAGTATCTGGAAGCCGACTTGTCCCCTGCCCAGCCTCAGGCAAATAGAGCAGCAAGGAGGGTCCCTTGCCCCCTTTATTGAAACACACAAAAAATGGCTAACTCAGCGCTACAGCTGGGCCTCCACGCCCCAAAGTCGGCCCATTATGTCTCCTGTCACCTCTGCATAGACCTGGCCTAGCAACTGCCGATTCCCAACTGGTAGCTCCATTGGTGGCCTTCTTGTTTGGAGCTAGCCTCAGCTGGCAGCACCCTCACAGCAGGACTCCAGAGTCACAAAGGCCCAGAGACTCTCAGGCCTTGGCAGAGCATTCCCAGCTTGAACTATGCTGCTCCCAGACAGGCCACAGCAAAGTGAAACTGGGTTGTCTGTGTGACTCGGAGGCATCTCAGTTGCCCGTTCATCTACTCCCCAATCTCTCCATCGAGGCCTAGGTTTGGGCGTCTACAGCCCAGGTTCTGCTCAACTCTCAAACCCTCCGACCCAATTCTGGAGTTTACCAACTTTCCTCGGGGGACACATGCGAGTCCCCATTCCCTATCCACATACCACAACTCCAAGACAGCTACTGGGGCAGATGTGACTTGATGGTCCTCTAACTCTCCCCTTCCTTGGACTGGACATTCAGTAGTTCCCGGATGGGCTGCTGCCGTGGGCCAAACCTGTCCTTATGGCTGGTCCCAGAGAAGCATAAAGCTTGGCCTCCCGCCTAGCCTTCCTACCGTGTCCCTTCTCACACACAACTCCCTGCGAGCAGTGGGCAGAAAACATGACATGATGGACCCTCCTGGACAGGCCTCCTGTCACCCCACCCCCACCTCTGCAGGGCTGGAGGGTGTTTTGGTATGAAAGCTCCTGGGGTGAAGACTGGCCACCACCAAAAAAAGCCTGGAGAATACCCTTAGCGCGGGAGTCAGGCACAGGCCCCAGACTCCCCAGGGAGGACGGCCCAGCAGGGAAACAGTACTGAGAAGGCTCTGCAAACAGGCCCTGAGTTCCCCTTGGCTGTGCAGATATGGCGTTGGTGTCTCCGTGTGTACATTAGACTCAGCCCGACACCCGCCTTTGTCTGCTGGTCAAATCGGTTGCATCGAAAAACTCGTTCCCCTTCTCTCTGGGTCCTTAAAACAAATACAGGCCAATTGGAAGGCGGTGGGGCCCGGTAGTGCTGGGCCAAACACAATTTAGGCCAAGAAACCTGGATAGCAGCCTCCATCGAACACAGCCCACTGTTTTTAAGAATCTTAAGTCTTTTCTAAAAAATTTCCAGACAAGTGTCAGGTACCTCTGACAATTATCTAGAGGGAACAGACTGAACTAGGCAACCCAAGCGCATAGTTTCCTTTCAGGTGGGATTCACTTGGAGCCACCTGGCTGGCGAGGCCCCTCCGAAGCGGCAGGCTTCTCCGCAGCGGATGAGCTCCGGGCCGGGACCGGCAGCACCGCGTCCTGGAGCTGCCGGTCGGCGGTCCGACCTCCGGAGTCACCCGGCCGTCTCCTCCAGCCCAACGGGCAGGGCGGCTGTCGCTGGAGCCGGGACCGCGGAAAGCGAAGGAGCTGACGGCGCCAAAAGGGCCCGCAGGTGGCCGGGCGCGCCCCCCACCCCGCTCCTCGGCCCACTCGCGTGGATCGGACCGAGGCGCGCTGCCTGAAACCCGCACCACGTGGGGACAGTCGCAGGCGGGGAGGGGGCGCCCTGACCTGCCGGCCTTGGTGACGATCATCTCGGTGCCCAGCTGATTGAACTCGTCCCACAGCGCCTTCATCTCCAGCTGCACGCTCACGCTGGCCACCTTCGCGTTCTTCTTCACCGGCGCCTTGGCTGCGGCCGCGCAACTAGCCCCGGGGCCCTCGGGTTCCGCCGCGGTGCTAGTGGTGGCCCCGGCGGCCGGCGCGAACGGATAGGCGTGAGGCGGTGGCGGA